ACAAAAAGTTTCCAAGAGCCGCTTCTAAGATCCTCTTCCGTATCTTCGGTGTCACATTCTAATAGGAAATCGGCTACCGCTTGCCCTTTAACAGCTGTTCTCGGCTCATACGTTATGTCGAATGAACTCAACTCTATGGCCCACTTTGTCATTCTGCCCGAGAGCTCTGGCTTGTGCATAAGCGTTCTGATTGGGAAAGTTGTCAGAACAGCTATGGGGTGGGATTCGAAATAATGCCTCAACTTTCTTTTTGCATTTACAAGTGCAAGTACCACCCGTTCGGCCTTTGAGTATCTTTTTTCTGCCTCCATCAGCGTTTTGCTTACATAAAATACCGGGTATTGCACCCCTTCCTTGCAACGAATCAGAACTGCACTTGTCGCGACACCAGATACTCCAAGATATAGAAATAACTTTTCTTCCGGTTCTGGGGCTGACAGGACTGGTGGATTCTGCATATATTGCTTCAAATGAGTCAATGCTTGCCGTTGCTCATCCCCCCAGACCTGCCTTCCATGGCTCCGAATCGTGTCAAAGAATGGTTTGCAGTGATCTGACAATTTTGAAATAAATCGGCTTAATGCAGCTATTCGTCCTGTTAGCGCTTGCACCTCTCTGATCGTCTTTGGCTCGGCATTCTTAATCAAAGCTTCTGCTTGAGCGGGGCTAACTTCGATGCCCCTGCGGTTGACCACGTGTCCCAGAAACTGTCCGGAACTCACACCGAACGAGCACTTGGCCGGATTGAGCCTCATTCCATACCGCTTTAGTACATCGAATACATCTTGCAGATGCTTCAGATGATCATCCTTTTTCCTACTCTTTACCACCATATCATCAATATAGGCTTCGACAATCTTACCCATTTGATTCTTAAAAACTTTGCTAACAAGTCGTTGATAAGTTGCTCCCGCATTCTTTAGCCCGAAAGGCATAACTTTGTAGCAGTATGTACCTCGCTCGGTGACAAAAGAAGTTTTTTCTTCATCTGCGGGGTCCATAGGAATCTGATTATAACCTGAATATGCATCCAGAAAGGTTAAACGCTCATACCCAGTGGTGGCATCCACCATTTGATCAATCTTAGGCAGCGGGAAGCTGTCCTTCGGGCAGGCTTTGTTCAAATTGGTGAAATCAATGCATACTCGCCATTTCCCATTTTTCTTCTGCACTACAACGACGTTGGACAACCACTCAGGGTAGTGCACTTCTCTGATAAATCCCGCATCAAGCAGCCTATCGACTTCTTCCGCTATGATCTGATTACGTTCTGGAGCAAATCTTCGCTGCTTCTGTTTCACTGGTTTGAAACTGGGATTGACATTCAGGGAATGACAGGATACGGAAGGACTAATTCCAGGCATGTCTAGGTGACTCCATGCAAATACGTCGACATTGTGGGACAAAAAATCCACTAGCTCTTGCTGCTCTTCTCTGGTCAGTCTTATACCTACTCTGGTAGTTCGTTCTGGCCTGGACTGATCGATCTGCACATCCAGAAGGGGCTCCTCGGTCAAGTCGACTGACTCCTCCACCCTATTCTGCTCGGGCGGAGGTTTCTGTAATTGCTATCTGGGGCTTGTCGAACGGACGGGCGCCTTTCCTTTCCCAGCATGTTTTAGTGTGACGGAATAACACTCTTTGGCTGCGACCTGATCCCCCCGAATGTCTATTACTTTATCCCCATCGGGCCCGAGGCACCTCATGACCTGATGCAGAGTTGAGGGTACACCTCGGACTCTGTGAATCCATCCTCTTCCCATCAGGAGATTATACGAGGGGTGAATTTCCACAACCACAAAAGTTTCCATAAGAGCTCGTTCTGCAGCTTGAACTTCTACTTCCACCATCCCGACGGGTTCCACCCTCTTCCCATCGAACCCTAATAAGGGATTTCCGGTGGGCTTGAGCCTCTCTGGTTTAATGTCGAGCCTGTCAAATGTGTCCCTCGGCATAACATTCGCACTGCTCCCAGGATCGATCAGAACTCTGCGCACCAAGCAATCTGCCACTGTCAAACTGACTACCAACGGGTCGTCATGAGGCAGTTGAACACGCTGCAGGTCTGTCCAGTCGAACTTTATCTGCATTGACGGGCTCTGCTGGTGTAGAGTGGACACATTGCCGACCCTTTTCTTCATCTGCGCCTGCCGCAGGCGCACCCGTAGCAGCTCATCTGACTCTTCACTAGGCTCGGGTCGACCATGGATAGCATTGATTATACGAACTGGTTGCGAATTGTGGGAGCTTTGTTTATGACTCCTTTTTATTTGTTCCACTGGTCGATTCTGCTCCATCGCCGAGCCTTGAACATAACTCGCAAACTCCCCTCTAGCTATCAACATCTCCACTTGCCTCCTCAGGTTCCTGCATTCGTTAGTCTAATGTCCGAAATCAGAATGAAAAGCACAATGTTTAGTTTGATCCCTCTGCTCGAGGGGTTGTCTAATTGGCAGTGGTGGATGAAACTTGTCCTTGTTCTCCTGATACAGCCTCGCCAGAGTGACCTTCAGCGGAGTAATCAACTCTTCCTCCCTGGACCTTTTTTCGGCCTTCCAAGTGGTCTGACGTTGTGGCTGAGCCTGCTTCTGCCTGATCTTTGCCTTGGACTTTTCCTCGGTCGACACAAGCGACGTTGTCCGAGCATTAGCTGCCTCCTCTTCTTCGAGGCGCACAAAGCCATCGGCTCTCTCATTGAGTTCATCCATGGTAGCCGGCGTGTTCACTACCAGACTGGTGTGAAAGGGAGTTCCGCGTGTCATGGCTAACTTGAAGGCTTGAACTGCCGTAGAAGGGTGGCATTCGATCACCATACTCTTAGTGAGATTAAACCTGGTAAGAAAGGCCTGGAGACGTTCATCCTTGTGCTGCCGCATCGTGAATAGGCTCGAGATGTCCTTCGGCGGGCGTTTGTTCCCATAGTACTGGCTTACGAACCGATCGCACAGGTCTCTGAAACTGCCAATGGAGCTCCTAGGCAAGTTTTTGAACCAGCTGAGCGCCGGTCCGGCCAGGCTTGTAGGGAAACATTTGCACATTAAAGAGTCGTTTTCCGTATTCAGGGCCATTTTCAACTGGATATGATACACATGATCGATCGGATCGGTCGTTCCGTCAAACAGAATAAAGACTGGCATAGCAAACTTCCTTGGATGCGGCGCATTCAAGATCTCGTCGGTGAATGGTGAATCCACCGTCCGAGCTGCGGATCGGAGAGCTTCATTCTCTCTCTGGAGTCCAGCGGTAGCTCTGTGAGTTACGGTTCTGCCCTCCGAACCGTGATGAGTGACAGTAACCATGGAGGGCCGGTAAGACGGATCGAACGACCGTTCCTCTATGAACTCTCTTTGCCAAGGCGACGCTACTCGACGGCGATCAACCTCCATCACTTCCTCTCGGTCAAACCCTTCCCGCTGCGGATCAACGTGAGTCGATCCTTCGTGATCTTCAACTCGACGAACATTTGGCGGCAAATTGTCCATCATCCTTTCATCACGGTGGTGAGCTGACTGATTGTTCTCGTCCTGATCGCCTTGATGCGCGATATTAGATGGAACACCTCCTTCTCCGACCGGAATTGGATGCGAAACCGCAGGTATTTGCCGATGCTGCAGTCCAGCTTTCAATTCTGCATTTTCTTTTCTGAGAGCTTCAATCAAGTTCATCAACTCTTCAAGCTTTGTTTGCTGGACAGCCTCCATCGGATTGGAGCTTTCACCTATCATTATTCCCGAACGGAGTAAAGGCATTAATCTCAAGTTCGCGAGTAGATCTGAGCTTCGTGAGTAGGAATTTTTAGATCTGGCTTCTAATTCTCCGAATTATGCTCACTATTTACGAGATCTGAATTGTCTGAACTCTAAATCCGTTAGATCCTGCCACAATCGAACAACTCGTGGTTGCGTAGATCTGAAGTCACTCATGCCAAAGCTTCAAGAATTGTAATTCCTCCAGAGTAGGTCACAATCGCTCAGATCTGGATTCAAATCCCCAAGATCGAGTCTCGATCAACCGAATTGGTTTGAATCCATCCGATACTCCTCATTGATCAACCAAACTTTCATGTCTTTCCCACAGACGGCGCCAATTGAAGATGCAAGAAACTCCTTCTATTCTTTCTCTCTCTAGAATTCTTACACCTCAACCCGAAAAAGATCCCTCTCCTCTTCCTTCCAACTCCTATTTATAGATATTTACAAGATATTTACAAGATATTTGCTGACTGCTGGATCTGGGCCTATTCCTCTGTAAGCCCTGGTCACGCTTGATGGGCTTACTCCCGTTCGGCCCATATGGCAGTGTCTTTCTATGGGCTGACCCAGCTGTTTGGACTGAATGTCGTGTTTTGCGAGTCGGACCTGGCCCATGTCATCCGGGACCTCCTCATCCACACTAAACAAATTCCTGACCTTCCTCCCAATACTGACAATATATATATATATATATATATATATATATATATATATATATATATAATGAGTTAACCTTGTTTAAAAGAGTATGAACATTTTTTTTTAGTTACCCTCCCAATTTAGTTATCAATGGTTTTTTTTTTTTTTTTGGTTGTTGTCCCAAAATACTTGTACTTTTAAAAGTTTAATCAACATATTTCATATTTTTTCATAAAATACCCTTCAAAGTTTTAAAAAATTTCAAACTTAGATTATATATATACATATTCAAACCGTTTATTTTGAATGCATAGCAAATTTTATGAATTCTATAAGAAATTTTGTGTCCCGTAAATGTGTACTATTTTTTAGTTTTCCTCCCAAGCTGGTGGTTATTTCATGCACCTCGAATACTTTTTTAATATCCAAAACTTCCGGTGCCAGGAAATCTCTAGACCAATCACTAACGGTGATTAGCTCTCTGAAGTATGACCTCTCTTTTCAAAGCCGAGATTGGGTGCTCAAACCTCGCTAGTGTCAATATTGTGAGGGAGTGTGGTTTGCTTGAATTTCGGGAAAAAAACAAAATTACAAAATATAAAATAAAGATTAATAATAAAATAAAGATAAAATAGAAAAATTCAGACTCAAACCAATAAACTGTAATGTTTTCAATGCCCTTGTAATAATATTGCAAATTAATCAAAATAATTAAATCCACTGTACACAATATACAAACCTCTCTTCAGCGCATGGAGGAAAATGTCAAAACCAATCACCATTTTTATGCCGCCTCTGCCATTTATCTTTCTTTCTCTTCTTCCTACTGCATTTACAGTAAATAATTATGCTTCCTTTGGTAAAGAATGGATAGCTATTCTCAGTGTCCCTCCCCCTTGTGCCTGGTTATAGACAGATGGAAAATGTGTCTAGAAGGGATGCCTAATTCATCTTTCATTCCCCTCCCTCTTCCTCTCCCTTGTACCAAACAATGGCAACCTGCACATCTTTCCTCTCTTCATACCCCTCCTGGTTATAGACAGGTGGAAAATGTGTCTAGAAGGGATGCCTAATTCATCCTTCTTTCCCCTCCCTCTTCCTCTCCCTTGTACCAAACAATGGCAACCTGCACATCTTTCCTCTCTTCCCTCCCGGCTGCTCTTCAAGCCCCTCCTGGTTATAGACAGGTGGAAAATGTGTCTAGAAGGGATGCCTAATTCATCCTTCATTCCCCTCCCTCTTCCTCTCCCTTATACCAAACAATGGCAACCTGCACATCTTCCCTCTCTTCCCTCACGGCTGTCTTCATACCCCTCCTACCAAACTAGCTTACGGAAAGGAAAAAAAAAAAAATCAATTTCCAAGCTATATCAGTACACACACCATGCTGGATTTTCAATTCGCTCTCTGAGGCTCAAGATTATAACCGCGTCTATATGCAACTCGGTACAGTTGATCATAGCCCGCAAGTACACCAGCCCCTGCAACACCAACAAGCATGTTTGCAGTAACTCCTCGATACAGTGCATTGAAACCCTCAAGACGAATGATTTCACGGAGTGCATGGAGTGCATTATTATACTTCACGGATTGTCCAGAAGTTAGCATCATCCTTCGTCGCAGCGTGTCAAAGGGGTAGGCACATACCCCGGAAACTGTTGTCACACTCCAACCCAACAGGAAACTAGCAAAGAAATTGTCCTGCAAAATTGAATCAGTGATGAATACTCTAAATTGGAATTTGGTCATTGAAAAATCACAGCAACATATAATGAAATTGCTTTGCATACAAAATACTCCTCTGGCCAACGAACACTAGCTAAATTGGTAAGGGTGACTGAGGTAGTGTGTCATCTTGACTTCTAACTTTCCAAATGAAATTCTTATATTGTAGAAAAACAAAAGAAAAGAAGAAAAAGTACACTTCAGGCAAGAGACTTGGACACGTGATATTGTTTGTGTTAATTAATTTCCATGAAAGCTTGAAAGAAGCCCTCAATCAAATATTCAAACAATCATCTGACCTAATTAATTATTAGTACAAAAAATAATAATAATAAAATAAGATAGTACTGAATGCTTCTACTAAGATGTTGTGGGACCAACAGCAAACTACGCATGCTGTGCATCCCCAAGAACTGACACTTCAGCCCCAAGACAGATACAAAGGGGAATTTTTTATGAGATGAACATCAGTACGAAGTATGAAAAAGCCAGGTAAAGGCATTTACCTTAAAAGGCCCAACCAAAACAATAGGCTTCATGGTATCATAGATACCAAAGTACATGCCTCTGTAGAGAGTAATTCCCAAGATTGAAACCCCAAATCCCCTATACAGGCCTACAATTCCATCACTTGACAAAGTTTTACGGTAAACATCAACTAGCCCTCTAAATTGGCGTTGACCATTAACTAACTCCTTTGTATCAATACCTAGACGGGTACGTGCATAATCCAAATGATAAAGAAATAATGACGTGGTTGCTCCAGCAGCACTCCCTGAAGCAACATTTCCGGCAAACCACTTCATGTAACCATCTTTCTCTTTTGAGCGTCCAAAGAGGCTCTTGAAGTAACCTTTAAATGCAAAATTAAGAGCCTGTGGACAAATTAACAAGGTTTCTTCAGTCATGGCTAATACCACTTCACAAAATGTTTGCAGAACACACTGTCACAACACACAAACACTCTACCATTGAAAGGAATTTCTATTTTCTAACAAAGGAGTCAAAAATTTTAAATTGACAATGCAGAGTAATCAGAATCGTACATTCCATGATATTTTTATGTGACTTCTATGGTTTACAATATCTAATGCCAATAAGAGGTCGGGGCATGACCCCTATAATTTTTCAAGAGAAACAAATTCATGCATGCAGATAAAAAGGAAAAATTAGAGAACACATCACAACAATGTGAATAACTTCACATCAAAATCACAAGTAGAACAGATTGCATTTTGTTTTTGTGATGCCAACAAGTGTGGGCGTGAAGGCTATACTTTTTTCAATATAATATTGTACAACCCTACTGACATCAACTAAGGATCGACCAACTGTTCAACTTAGCTACGAAAATCTCACCCATTATATCTAATTTCTAATATCAACAACTAACATGATGGCCGTTGCACAACACATTATGGAGAGGTCCCGCTCTAGTTACATCCCAATTTATCAACCATCAAGTAATTGGTAGCTGTTACAAAAGACCATAATGGGTCAGCCAATTATGTAATGTTTGTTATGCCAAAAAAAGAAAAAGGAAAAGACCAGCTCTTGCCATATCAAATCTCATGTGACAAAATTTGATCAAAACATATGTATCATTGACTTTTTAGTGGGTTTTTATTAATTACATAAATTCATGGCATCAATAACCAATTTCCGATGCCCCTTAGCCATCCCGATATTGTTACACCACAACCACGACCATTACATAACCCAATATGTAATTTAAAAATATGATCTTACCTTCCACTATGTCTAAGGCAATACTTCACATCCTAGGATAAGCTCAACATAGCAAATTTTCTAATGCTATGTTTGGTTGGAGGGAAGGATTGAGGGGGGATGGATGAGAGGAGGGATGGATAAATATTTTCGTGTTTGGTTGGAGGGAAGGGAAGAGGAGGAGGAAACAAGGAGGGATGCTTCATCCCTCCTTCCTTTATGTTTTTCTATCCGCCCACTTTTGGGGGGAAGAGAGGAGAGAAAGAAGGCATGACTTCCTATAAATTTGTAATTTACAAATTTAACCTTTTAAAAAAATTTGAAATAAATATCTACCTTTAATAATTTTATATAAAAGGGTGTATTGGTAAAAAAAATATAAGAACTCTACTTCCCTTCCTTCCAACCAAACAAGAAAAAAGTATCACTCCATTCATCCTTTCTACTATACATTCCATTCAATCAAACATAAAATGGGAAAGACACCCTCCTTTCCCTAGGGATATCTCATCCATCCCTCCCCCCATCTCTTCCATCCATTTTTCCATCCCTCCAACCAAACAAAGCATAAGTTTCATATTGATAGGGCTTAGCAATTAGCCTGACATAACCTCCATTTAGATATGGACCAGGTAAACAACACAGGTAGTTCTTTCAATAATTTATTGACAAGTACATACATCTTTACCTCATATCAGTTTCAATGCTTAAAAAGTTTTACACGGAAGGCTTGCAGTCATTAAGATAAGTGGTGAAGGAGGAAAATGCATGACGAGATAAGTGAAAAAAGTCAAATTTTTTTTTTTTTAAGTCCTATTTTCAGGTACTTATACCATGTGCTGAAAATAGTCTCTCTCCTAACCACTTAATTTTTCTAATTTACTCTCCTTTTTAAACGAACACAATTGCAGAAAAGAGAGATTTTTAAAACTTCATCCTGTATTTTCTTCTCTCGCCGTTAATTGAATGGTGTGCAATAGTCTATGAAAAACCCAGGAGTTCATTAGGGGCAGTGATGATTTAAAAGGAATTGCGATTTAATTACAAGGTAACCAATAAAGGCATGCATATACCAGTTGTTACATGTATTCTTCTTCATGTTTATGGACCTGTTTCTTTTTACACGACCTCAGATAAAAGCAATTCAGTAGGTGGACAGCTAGTTCATGAAATGGCAAGGAAAATCCATTTAAATAGGAAACATTACTCCTGTATTGTTAACACGTGATTCCATGCAAGCCAACTTCTATCAGATGCATGCAATGCAGCAGCAGTGGTTAGTGGTTTTTTACACAAGCAGTCCGTTCAGCCACACTCATAGCACCGTGCCTTCAGCGGTGCCTAGATTCATGGGCAGATTATGTAATAGTACTGTGACATTCCGGATTTTTATTTTGAATTAGGCTTTGATTGTGATTTCACTTGATTTAAATTTTGGAGACTCTTGTTTATTTAAATTGGGTGTGCTTGATCATTTATTTGAAGATGTGGAGTACCAGTATGATTTATACAAGTGATGGGATTTTTATTGGGGGACACTTGCATAATAATTGAGTGGAGGGTGGCACAATTTGGAACTGTAGAAAAATAGAATTAGTGGAATCCATGTGTCTGGGCATGCATAGGGTAGGACACGTTTCTTCTCCAAAGCCATACACTTGCCCATATATATATACCCTATATATCTATGTATATATATATATATATATCTCACTAGACTTCTGTATATCATTTTGCATCCTCACACAAAGAGACTGAGACAGAGAGAGAGAGAGCTGAACTGAGAGATGAGAAGAGGGGAGGGGTCGGCTCTGAGAAAAATAGGACCTGTTGCTGATTTTCTTTGCAGAACAACAAGATGGAGAAGAAGAAAAGGAAAGAAAGGAACCAAGCTTAGGATCATCCCCACCCTTTAACCTTCATGCTTGTCTAAGGTAGGGCCTCCCTAACTTGCGGTGCTTTGAGTGAATTTTAATAAAAACTTGTTTGCAACCGTTGTCATGATCTATATCCTATGTGCATGCATATATTTTGCCCTAAATTGAGAATATTGCCTTAGTTTCTTAAAAATCATAATGAGAGGGACATGATATCTTGTACGCCGTGATGAGGGGTAATGCAGAGTTATCCGTGAAGCTAATGGAACGAGGCAGAGACCCATAAGTGAAAAGAGAGAATGAACTACCATTGTTGACCCGCTACCTGAGCTTGCAGCTTCACTGTAAGACACCTAAGAAGGCTTATTAAGTGGCTATTAGACTCGCTAGGTTTTGTGATCATGCCGAAGCAATATGGGCTGGTGAGGCTTTAGTAGGCTATCCAACATAAACATAATATTCACCAACATTATACCCTTCTTATTTGGTAAGGTCTAGGTACGATCAATTTGGAGGGCAAGCCCTCAAGTAAGCCAGAAAGACAGGGCAACTCATAAGGTGTCTCATCTATCAATGGTTCCTGAGTCAAGGCTATAGGCCTTCTTTGCGTCCTAAGTCAGGCTTAGTTACCAAAATCATGAGTTGCACATGCTTGGCTGGATTCAATTACATGCTTATTCCTTTACCATATCATGTTCCTTAGGGCTTTTGGTCCAAATTGTTGTACTCCATGATAGTATGCATATTGGCGCTGTATGGGGCTCATTTGGAGAACATAAGGATTTTTTCATGTATTGTATCTCTTAGCCTATCTTTATCATGAAACTGAGTATGTTTTTTATGAACATATGGGAATTCCTTGCTTTGCATAGGATGCCTTTGTGTCACGTGCATAAAACAAGCATTGGGTTTACTGTCTCAATTAATATAAGCGTCGTGCTGCTAGGCGAAGCGGACTTGATGTTGATAAATCCGCGAATCTAGAAATTCATTTCGGACAATTGAACCCAGGACGGAGTGGAAGAAGGGAGGAGATTCTCGAACCCGGATGAACCATATAGCCAAGAGAACCCATGAACCAGAATAGAAGAGCTTGCCCCACCCATATCAAATGAAATAAAGCACTCCACGTGTTAGAACAGCTTCCATTGAGTCTCTGCACCTATCCCTTTTTTGATTTTCGCTTTCCGAACCTTCGTTTGTTTTCGGGCAACCCATTGTCATATCAAAATCATATGGATATAAATCCGTATTCTATTTTTGCAGCCATTCCAACTCAGCGCCTTTTGAGTGAGATTTGTATGTATAAGACCGAATCCATTCGATTTCTAAAAAGGATTACTACCAAAATGAGGATCCCAAATTGCATGAGTCTCCAACAATTATTCCAATAATTACATATCCGATTTGACCTATGGACGAATATGCAAGCATACGTTTCATGCTTGTTTGAGTAATAGCAATGAGATTTATGTATTGGATTTCACCAAAGGAAAATGGATTGGTGTGGTTCCTCTACACCTAGGACCTTCGATGGGAGCTTCTCTTGAAGCAATAACGCGTTTACGACCACTTGTTAGTGTCCCTCTACGACCACATTTTTTTTTTTTTTTTTTTTTTTTAACTTATCAAAAAAAAAAAAAGGGAGACTTGGAATTGCTGGATTTTGTTAAATTGAAGACATTCTAGTTTTGTATATAAGGTGTTTGACGTTTTGTCCGTTACAATTTTCTTTTGAGGATTTAATGTAATTAGGGATTGAATTGTATATGTATATTTTATCGTGTTTGTTAAGGATTTTGGGTGATTGGAATGTGTTGGGTTGTGGACTGTATTTTGGAGTGGTGTGTTGGAAAGATTTCTCTGTAACGCAGTCTCGTAGGACTCATTTTTCATAAGGTTTCCGTTTTCCAAATGCCTTGAAATTTTTACTACAAGTAATCCTATTTCTCTAGTACCTCGCTATAAAATTTCATGATTTTTGGATGAGCAGATATTTTTCAAAAAAATCCGACATTGCCTGCTGTCCATCTCTTTAATGCTGCCAGGGAACAGATTTTAAATGATTTATTTGACTAACTTCTCGACATCGGAAGATTACGAGACTTTCCAGTTTTATGCTTTCCATGAGTCTACATTCAAAAGAAATTTAGTTTGCCCAGTTCCGATGTCAAATGAATTTTCTACAAATTTTTAAGTATCCACTGTGCAGATTTTGTCTAACTGGGAATGCTGTTCTATATTGCGTTCTAGCCTCACTAATCGCGCCCTATGGTTTCGGGTCACTACAAGTACACAAGCTATACAGCAAGGGTATTATGTAACAGTACACAAGCTATCCAGCTAGAGTCTGTCCTTTGAATATTTGTTTGTCAATATATTGAGCATCCTCAATTGTCAGCTTTGACCTTGTGTTTTGAGCAGGTTTTATCGAGTGTTATGTGTTGTAATAATAAGACCAACAAGAGAACGTTGTAAGTTTTATGATACCCATAGAAACTGCTTAAATAAATAAATAAAAGTTATCCCCCAGAATCTCCTCAAGTAAATTTATATGTACAGATTTTTTAATGAACACATGCGGTGTATTCTGGGGCTGGATTGATTTCACAATAACCTATGGTTCCCCTCCTCTAAAGCTGCCAATGCTGAAAAAACTATTTACATCATCAGGTCACCAACTAATCCACCTGTGTAGAGAACCCTTTTGTTTGCAGACCTACCTTCATTACCAAATTGAACTATTATACAGCTGCCTTTACCAAAAGGACACCCTGTTTGCATAATTCAGAATTTTCATTGCTGCCCTAGTTAAAAAATATATTAGTCGCTTAATCTCTTCACGCACACCCCCCCCCCCCCCCCCCCCCCCCCCCCCCCCACCCCCCCAAACACACACACACACACACAAAAACAAAAGGTAAAGTGCAAAAAAAAAAAAAAAAATTAAGCTGACACTTGAGGATGCTCAATACATTAAACGACCAGACACACATCTCGATCACCGGGATTTTCCACGAAATCACTGCCCTCAGACACCTCAATACACAATAAGCATCATCGCATAACTCCTAAGGGAAACATTCACATAGATGAATTTTGCGGAACCTTCTCGATCCCATTCTCTTCATGATTCAGAGGAATATGAAGATGATTTACCCATTAGCCTTGAGGGTAGTAACAATACATACATTGGACTCGAATCTATAACCAATGCCCCTACCAATCATCTTCTATTGCCAGTGACCGAATCACTTTGTACCCATAAAAGCAACACTTTTGATGCAATAATTGTGGCTAATTCGAAGATCCAGCAATGGCAGCACCAGTGGGCAGAATCATGAAATATGCACCAGACAGCGTTCGGTGGAAGAACCCTCCTCGCGCCACCCCCCACAGCCCACACTGGCACGAGTCCTTGTGGCGTTACCAGCACGAAATTGGAAGAAACCGAATCGTTTACATATAAAAATCGCTGTTGACGACCAAGGAGAGAGAGAGAGACGTGGTTAGGTGAATTAGTGTTTTTAAAATTTATTTTACCTTAAGGTTATTTTAGGTATTTCAGTGTTCAAACTGATAAAATGTCCTTATTTGATCAATTTATAAAATGTAGGCGAGTTCTCTGAACATCAAGGGGTTTTCACACATTTTGTATAATACAGGGATACACCAGACCACACTCTAGAGTCTAGACAGTAGAAATAATCTAAATTAATGTACAAACAAATCCTAAGACAGTCATCATCTGATTTAGACGCCGCCAATCGGGTACAAGGTGGGCTGGACTCTTCTTTACCATTCTAAGTTGTTTACATCATCATTAAATTAAGGAAAACAAGTGGCAGTGAGTATCAAATTATATGTAACAATTCAGATGGATAGCTTAATTTAAAAGTATCTTTCAAGCTTGTCACCCAAGAGGATTCGAACCTTACTTGATGCTTCCTGAGGCACCAGGGCCAAGTTCTTACCCACTTGAGCCAACCCATTGGGGTTGAATTAGCTTCAATCTTCTTCACTCAATATTAAAAATATATTCATTGCCTACTAAAACATAATTGAAAGAATATGGTTAAATAAAAAATTTATGTACAATCAACAGCAAACCCAAATTTAAGGTCTATGTATGGCAGGCAACATAAAATAAATAAATAAATAAAATGGAGAAGAAGAAGAAAGAACAATTGCCTGAGTTGGGAAATATCGTATGACATTGGCCTGGTGACCTCTCCAAAAGGCCAATAGACCCTCCTCTTTGAAGACCCTACTAAAGCAATTACCAACACCCGTATAAGGTTTCTTCAGTTGTCCTCTCTTTAACAGCTCTCCTTGATTTTGCAGTAAAAGCTTCACCCTCTCAATTGGTGCTGCTGCACTCTTCGACATTATCGCCGCCGTCCCTCCCATCACAAAATCTACTGAAAACCTCTCCGACTGTGTCATTGTCCCAACCTCTCCCCCCTCTCTCTCTCTCTATTCCTGCAGAGGTAACCGCAAGCACATTATAAAATTATAAGTGAGCAGAATATGCAAGTATACCAAGAGAAACTGCGACCCTTTTCATCGATCTCCAGTTGGGCAAAATATTAATAGCCATATACATTGCGCAATACATATAACAATCAATATAGCAACAAATTACATTATACCATTCTGTCAATCTCAGTAGATCCATATCATGACACTTGAATCAATGGAGTAATATTAATAACAGATCAAACATACTCAAAAAACGACCAAAATAGTACCAATTTAACACTCATTTAATCTACAGGTAAATATGTTTGTCTGCATGTGCGCATTCATATATATATATATATATAATATGTATATATATATATATAATATGTATTTAGATTTGAGCTTTCCTTCCCAGAACTACAACAAATATGAGCTATGGTAGCAGATTTATCTGCTGGTGAGAGGCCATAAAACTGCTGCAAAAGGTTTTTGTGGCAGTAAGCATCGCCAAAAGATCCACCATCAGATTATGTATCAACATAGGTTTTCAATCTATGGCAGCAGTCAGAAGACTCAGAACTACTGCCACAGTCTCGCTATTGGCAGCAATCATGCCCACTGCTAAAAGTCTCACTATTGACAGCACTCAATTCCGCTGCCAAAAGCCCAAGTTAGGTTTGTTCAAGATATTAAAATATGCTGGCATAAATTAAAAAATCGCCATGTCACATTCAGTAGCATTTTTAGGATTTGGTCACTTCAAAGATTAAATCTGGAAGAAATAAAAAAATAAAAAATAAAAATAAAAATAAAAAAATTGGCCTCTTTAGATGAAGAAAATATATATAAAAACCATTGAAGACATACAAGCACCATTACGTCAATTCAAAACCCAAATATATTCAATTCGTAACTACACCAATTAATAGAGACACGCCAATTTTAACAGAAAGTGGAAGATCACAAAAGCAAAGCATAACACTCTCAGCAAACTTTTATTATCATGTTCCCCACCACTGCTAAGACTATAACCTCATTAAATAATGACTGGAAAATGAGAAGCCAAAGCCCGAGCGACACCAATCTATTCACATCCACTTTATTTTACCTTCCGGAAAAAAAAATAAAAAATAAAAAATGAGATGCCATAAACAATGGTACCATGCATTTAATATTTATTCAATTTTGAGTGAAGTGTATTCTACTGTAGCCATAAAGTTATATTTATTCAATGCTTTCAAAACAAAAACTATCAAAATGAAATAAAATATATATATATATATATATATATCAAAGTATGGAAGCATTTTCACATGAACAAGGCAAACAATCAGATTGCAATGCTCTAAGTAATAATTACAAAAAATATATGACAAGAATGTTGCTATCGCTGCAATGTAGATAGGGATAAGTGTCTGTACATTGTCAAAGCTTAGAAAAGTGCATTGAAAAGTCTTTCCAAGAACCTGAATGAAATTAGATATTAAATTTCATGACTTTAAGCAAAATAACAATAAGAAAAAGAAAAACTCATATTTCAATTGAAACCAAAGCACTTAGTTGAATAACTATCTAAAGGTCCATCAAGAAATTTCATGCCAATTCTTTCTTATGAAAAAGTATTATAATAAGGCAATCATTAGGAGGGTCTCTAGTGTTACATTTGAATTCAAGTTTTCATGCACCTAATTTTTTACTACTGCACAAATCATCAATAGCACTAGAATTGAAATATTAGGATAACCATATATAAAGGCATGATAATGATAAACATGATCTTTGTAATTCTGTAAAGGATATATGCCTAGGCTCTATCATTTCAATTATCAATTGAAATGGTCAATTTACTTTTTAACATTCAGTATTTATCAATGGGCAATTATTCCATATGATAGTATGTGGTAAGGTAGCTCAAACTAGTTTTGGCACACATGTAGGAGCTAAGTAGATCTAAAAGAGTCTTCCAAATTGTAAGTTTACAAAAATACTTGTAACAGCCCTAGACCAAAGATTGCCTAGGAGGTCACCCATCCTTGTTCTACTCCAAGTTAAACACGGTAAATTACAGAGTTCTGATGGGTTCACGGCCATCACGGCTTTAAAACATGTTGTGTCATAAAAGGGTGATGAACCTTCATATAGCAATTCACTCTTCCACACCAAGGCAATGTGGGAATTGTGAGCACACGTAGCTTACACCAAAGCCTTGTCTCTCACAGGCCTGCTCCCGCCCACTAAGCCTCATAATTCCACCCTCCTTAGGAGCCCGACGTCCTCATCGGCACACTTCCGGCTGGTCCAGCACTGATACCATTTGTAACGGCCCTCACCCCACCAGACACAATATTGTCCGTTTTTGACTCCCCTGGAACAAAGACCTCCCATTAGGTCACCCATCCTGGTACTACTCTAAGTTAAGCATGCTTAACTACGGAATTCTGATGGGTTCACGGCCATCATGGCTTTAAAACGCGATGTTCCATACAATGGCGATGAACCTACATATAGCACTTCACTCTTCCACACCCAAGCAATGTGGGAATTGTGAGCCCATGTAGCTCCAGATCCTTGCCTCTCACAGGCCTGCTCCCGCCCACCGAGCCTCACAATACTTGCTTTAGCGGCAACTTTCTTCACTCAAGAACCGTTAAATAATATAACCAAATGGAGAACATGGTTATTCAAGATGATTGGAAGTTTTAATTTACCTTGTATAACCACAGCTAAGAGTTCAACAATGATTAATGTGCTTCTCTCTGTTTGAGGCCAAGCATATATTGCATACCTAAATCATAATAGACAGTAAAATATGATTCAGAAAACAAAAACAAATCATGCAACAATATCAAAAAACTTGCCAAGAACACCACAAATATTCTAATAGCATACAATCTTAATCAGGTTTTGATCACGATAGTTAATACTTAATAGAGCACCAAATCTCTAACAAATTCAATTGGACTGATTGTGTTTTCAAGTATTCGATTGGATGTAAACAGAATCAGTGGAGCGAAATAAAGCTCGGAGATTTATGTTGCATAAAAAAGTATGTCTATATATATACACACACGCAATGATATACAATTCGTCTGTGTCCAAATATTTAGGGGTATTGAAATTACACATATATAAACATAGAGAGAGATGCATATATCCATGAATAAAAGTTTACCCTGGTTGTGATGGAACTAATCACGCTCTGCCATTTAAATTTGATGATGCAACACAAATAAAATAGAGAGAAATTGCAATATATGGGCATGGAATTGCAACCTTAGAGTACAGAATTACTTCGTGTGGGAGAGAAATTCCAATCTTGATTGCAATTCCGCACAGAGAGAAACGTAGAGTGAGAAAGGGTGTGAGAGAGTACCTCTTTATTCTACCTGATTCTGTCCCTTTCCCTCTTCCTATTTCTAGGTTCCGGGTAGAGATTTTTTTTTTTTTTTTTTTTTAAGAGAGAGAAAGAGACGTATCAGATGAGAGAACGGCTGGAGAGGAGAGAGGAAGGCAGGATGGGGATCCTGGGGAGGAGAGCTCGCGGGATAGCAGTGAACCGTTATCTGATTTTCTTTTCTTTTAAAATTCTAGTTCACAAGAGTCACACAACCACTTCTTGCCCCCATTATATTGTTAATAGGGTTAAATGCAAAAAAAAAACCCCTAAACTATTAAGATTTTGCAAGAAACTCCCTGAATTACAAAAAACTCCCTAAATTATTGTTTTGTTGCAATTCACCCCATCAGGTTACCGGAAAAGGCAAAAAACAATTCCGCCCTTACTATGACCTAGGATAGTGCTACACTAGTAGCCAAACAGAGTACTGGGATATATTATACATATATATGGTATATCATATATGCCTCTGCAAACCCAGAAGGGGAAAGTACTGCAGCCACGAGGACGACGAAGAGGATCGGCCGGAGGAACGGCGGTGAGCTCGGCTGGTTCATCTCTTCATTCGCGAATTGGTGGGTCGCTTCAGCTCTCCGATGCAAGTCATCTAAAACTTGGGGTAGCCGGAGTTAATCGCTGAAGGTTTTGGGTCTGTCTCAAACGCAATCTTGCGGTTCCCTGTTGAAGCTTTTCCGATAAAGGTCGTTGAAGCTTTTTTGATAAAGGTCGCTGAAGCTTTTCTGATTGATTGAATGTTGATGCTCTTCAGGTTTGGTCGCCGTCTATATGGAGGTATCAGTTGGGTCTTCAATGGAACTCTAGTTCAGTTCATACAACTTCGATTCGGAGCTCGCCGGCTTCAATGGACGCTGCTGCTGCTCGGAGCTCGCTGGAATGGATGGGTCGTTGTAACTCTGCACATGTCTTCATCTTCGGTTGGGCCGGTGATACTCAGAGCTTCCCACCGATGGCCATAGAGTTTGAAGCCGGGTATGGAAAAATCAATATCTGGCAGTGGTTTGTTTATTGGAGGCTTGGAGCTGTTGCAATCTGATATGGGTATGATTGTGGGTGTAGGAACAAAACAAACCCAGTACAAATTATTAAAAAAAATAAGAAAATAAATAAATTTAAACAAACCTCTGCAACTTTGTTGTTTTAAACAAACCCAGTACATATTGTTAGAAAGATTTCAAAAAATTTAACTTTTTAAGTATTTGATTGGACTGGTATAGACCATTTAATCGATCAGCAGATTCATCACAATAGAAAAAAATTTGTAAGCTTTAATGGAGAAGTTGAATTGGTTTTAATACACCATTAGAATTTATATATATATAATATCAATGAACTGTAACCCAACAGTTAATTGGAACTTTGATCCTTTAGATGATATGGAGGTCAATTTGACTCAAATCATGTAGTGTAAAAACACAATGTTGATGAGTCCTTGTAAACCCAGTTCTCAAATTGAGGGCTCTCTTGTTTCCTCCTTAAATTCGTAGTGCAGGCATCACAGGGAAAGAAACTTACTGCCATCTTGCAGTTGGGTTTGATGAAGAAGATAAACAGTGTTTGTAACTCTCTCTCTCTACATGTAATATATATAAAGTGATGAGGGTGTGTTTGGGTAATTGGGTGTAACAGTAAACTAAGGGTGTGTTTGGGTGTAATGTTCATAATAAGGGTAATATAGTCTTTTACGCTCATAAGGGCATTATGGTCATTAGGTATATATTGTGTGATCATGTGACTGCATGTGATGGTTTTAACGGCGAAATTCAACCGGCCGGTCGCCGGATGGAGTTATCTGCAACAAAAATTATAGTTCAGGGGGTTTTTTGAAAATTTTGAAGTTCTGGGGGGTTTATTGCTGATTGGCTAATAATTCAGGAGGGTTTTTTGCATTTAACCCTTGTTAATATTATTATTATTTATTTATTTTTTTTTTCTGAAAATGACAAATATCACCAAATCTTGCTGATGTGTCAATCACGTTAGCATCTGTAAGGTTTCTTTTTTTAATTATTATTTTGGGGGTTTATGAAAAGGTAGAGATTAGGGATTCGGGTTTTACCAGCAATAGATAACTTTGATTAAAGCTGAGTGTGGATATTTCTTCCCCATTTACGCGTGTGATTAAATTAAAACACGAGGGTATGAATCTTTTGGGTCGTCTTCAGTATGAACGACTGCTATCACTATGTTATTTATGTGGTAGGGTGGACCATGAAGTCTGATAGTGTGTTTAGAGAGGAATGGATGACCAGCCGCTTGCTTCCAAAGAACAAGTATTTGGAAATTGGCTGAAAGCCACTAAAACATCTGGTCATTTGAGGACAAGTTCCCAAAACACATGCCACATATATAGGTTTCCCATGGTCAGAACGTTTGGTGTCTTCCTCTCTTGCTCCGGCGACTTTTCTGATGATTGAGAATATAAACAATCAAAATGACAAAAGGTCACGTGTCTGGTTGTAACAACCCTTTCAAATAACGACAAAAGTCTCGAAAACTCTAATACTAGTACTAGCCAATCGGGGAAGGAATGGAGGGAGGTATTATAGTACATATTCTACTCCACCATCCCAAAATTGGCTACAAACCCCCATATGAGAGTGGTTTAATGTGGAATTGTTAGGGTAACCATCCCAAAATTGGCCCCAACCTAGAGTGCCACTACTCTATTGCACTCAACCTCGGCCGTGTTAATACTCACTCGCACTTAATCGTGTTAATACTCACTCGCACTTAATCGTGCTAACGCGAACTAACTCGTGTTTCTCATTTGTTTTGCAGTGTTTCATGCCATCTACTTGGCTTACACACTCATTTGCACTCGCTCGTGCCAGTACTCTAGCACACTCGATCGTGCCAGTACTCATTCACCCCCAATCGTGCTAGCGCGAACTAACTCTTACTTCTCATTTACTTCGCAGTGTTTCACGCCATCTACTTAGCTTACACACTCACTTGCACTCCCTCGTGCCAGTACTTTAGCGCACTCGACTGTGCCAGTACTCAATTGCACTGGCTCGTGCCAGTACTCAATTGCACTCAACCGTGCCAGTACTCATTCACCCCCAATCGTGCTAGCGCGAACTAACTCGTGCTTCTCATTTATTTCGCAGTGTTTCACGCCATCTACTTGGCTTACACACTCATTTACACTCACTCGTGTTAGTACGCTGTCGCATTCGATTATGCCAGTGCTCACTTGCACTCACTCGTGCCAGTTCTCTGTCGCATTCGATTGTGCCAGTGCTCACTTACACTCACTCGTGCCAATACTGTATAGCGCTTGATCATGCCAATATTCACTCGCACTTGATCGTGCCAGTACTTTACTGCACTCGATCGTGTAAGTACTCATTCACACTCGATCGTACTAGCTTGAATTAACTCGTGCCCCTCTTTTGTTTTACAGTGTTTCACGCCATCTACTTGGCTTTAACAATCACTCGCACTCGATCGTGCCAGTACTCACTCATACTCAATCTCGCCAGTTCTCACTTGTACTCGATTGCGTTAAATGAGGGTATGAAACTTTTGTGTCATCTTCAGTATGAACGACTACTATCACTATGTTATTTCTGTTGTAGGGTGGACCATGAAGTCCGATGGTTTGTTTAGAGAGGAATGGATGACCAGATACTTGTTGCCAAAGAACAACTATTTGGAAATTGGTTGAAAGCCACTAAAACATCTGGTCAATCGTTTGAGGACAAGTTCCCAAAACACATGCCACAAATACAGGTTTCCCATGGTCAGAACATTTGGTGTCTTCCTCTCTTGCTCCGGCGACTTTTCTGATGAATGAGAATACAAACAATCGAAATGACAAAGGTCACGTGCCTAGCACAGAGGAGTGTCTGGTTATAACAACCCTTTCAAATAATGACAAAACTCTCGAAAATGCTAGTAGTACTAGCCAATCGGGGAAGGAAACGTATGGAGAGAGGAATTATAGTACAAATTCTACTACACCATCCCAAAATTGGCCCCACACCCCCTATAAGTGGTTTAGTGTGGAATTGTTAGGGTAACCATCCCAAAAATAGCCCCAACCTGGAGTGCTAGAACTCTATTGCACTCGACCGTGTTAATACTCATTCGCACTCAATCGTAATAAAGCGAACTAACTCATGTTTCTTATTTGTTTCACAGTGTTTCATGCCATTTACTTGTCTTACACACTCATTTGCACTCGCTCATGCCAGTACTCTAGCGCACTTAACCATGCCAGTACTCATTCACCCCTAATCGTGCTAGCGCGAACTAACTCGTGTTTCTCATTTATTTCGCAGTGTTTCATGCCATCTACTTAGCTTACGCACTCACGTGTACTCCCTCGTGCCAGTACTCTAGCGTAATCGACCGTGCTAATACTCAGTTGCACTCGCTCGTGCCAGTACTATATTGCACTCGACCATGCCAGTACTCATTCACCTCCAATCATGTTAACGCGATCTAACTCGTGCTTCTCATTTATTTCGCAATGTTTCACTCCATCTACTTGGCTTACGCACTCACTTGTACTCCCTCGTGCCAGTACTCTAGCGCAGTCGACCGTGCCAGTACTCAGTTGCACTCGCTCGTGCCAGTACTATATTGCACTCGACCGTGCCAGTACTCATTCGCCTCCAATAGTGTTAACGCAAACTAACTCGTGCTTCTCATTTATTTTGCAGTGTTTCATGCCATCTACTTGGCTTACACTCACTTGCACTCACTCTTGTTAATACTTTGTAGCACTCGATCATGCTAGTGCTCACTTGCACTCACTCGTGCCAATACTGTATAACGTTCAATTGTGCCAGTATTCACTTGCACTCGATCGTGCCAGTACTCTACTACACTCAATCGTGCAAGTACTTATTCGCACTCGATCGTACTAACACGAATTAACTAGTGCCCCTCTTTTGTTTTACAGTGTTTCATGCCATCTACTTGGCTTTCACAATCACTCGCACTCGATCGTGTCAGTACTCACTCGTACTCAATCGTGCCAGTACTCACTCGTACTCGATCGCGTCAGTACTCACTCGCACTCGATCGTGCCAGTACTCTATCGCACTCAATCGTGCCAGTACTCACTCGTACTCGCTCGTGCTAGTACTCTATCGTACTCGATCGCGCAAGTGCTCACTTGCACTCGCTCGTGCCAATACTGTAACGCACTCAACCGTGCC